TTGAATAATATTATTAAGTGTTGGAAGATTAAAAGAGAGTAGATTTGTTAAAACAATATTATTAGTATTTTTTGCTAGTGAGAGCATTTTTTTGGTTTGAATTGTAAGAAGGTGAGAAAGTTTTGTTTGTATAGTTTTGTGAATAGGAACTATTTGTAGTAGATATTCTAAGGAAGGTTGAAGTATGAGATTGAATAGTAAGGAGATTTGTGATAGCAAAAGTTTTTTAAATTTGATTAATGAGAGAAAGTTTTCAATTTTGTTATGAATTATTTCAAGAGTTGGTTTAGTTGAACCTTTCCCATTATAGAATATACCAAGATATCTTATAATTTCTTCAGGTTTTCTAGATATAATAGTTTGATTTCTATATGTAAGTAGTATAATTGGTTGTAATTTTGAGGATTTGGATTTAATATGTAATAGATCAGATTTAGATGAATTAATAGTTAGGTTGTTGAGTTCATATAGTATTGATGTATTATTAAGTATATTTTGCATTGTTTCCTGGTTTTCACAGTGCTATACTATATTATCCATATATGCAAGCGGAGAGATAGTGATAGTAGAAGGAGTAGTATTTGAGATAAGTTCAAGAGGAGATTGATTAGAGATTTTTAAAAGATGGTTTTGATATTTTTGTGAAATAAAAATAAGAATTGGGTCATAATAGATTTTCCAAAGTAGAGGTGAATATATTTCTCCTTGTTCAATACCAGAGTTCAGTTGAACAGGAGCAGTAAGACTATGTCCTGTAATAATTTTTGCTAGTTAGGAAGTATGTAGTTCAGTGATAAAGTTTATACCTTTAGTTGGAATACCTATTTTTTTGCATGTTTCCTGAAGTCGGGATATATTTATTTTGTCAAATGCTTTAGACATATCTTGAAATAAAATCCAGACTTCTTTGTTTTAGAATATATAATGTTCTATTGTATTATATAGTATTTGAATTGGTGTATGTGTTGATATATTTTTAGTTCTGGCAAAGTTTAAGTTAGAAAGAAGATTATTTGATGTGATAATTTTATCAAGTCGTTTGGTGAATATTTTGATAAGAGTTTTTTTGAATGGTGCAATAATAGAGATTGGTCTAACTTGGTTAAGGGTAAAGTTCCAATTAGATATTTTTGGAATTAGGAAGATGTTTGAAGATTTCCATTCTGTTGGTACTTTTTGGAGTTGAAGGCATTTGTTAACAAATGACTTTAGGATTTTTTGTGTTTTTTGATCTGAGTATTTGATATGTTCATAGAAGATTTCAGAGAGGCCTGCTGCTTTTTCAATTAGGAAGGCTAGCAAGAGTCTCTTGCTATTCCTGATCAGATATTTCAGTGAAGAGATTTTGGTAATAATATTCAAATTCTGGGTGTGGTTTGTCTAAACCAAGTACTATAATTGCATAAACAGGTTTTGTGTATTCCCACATTGCTAATCGAGTCTTTGTAATCAAAATAATCAAAATGTCAAGACTTTTGGCGCCAAACGAACCTTCATATCATCTCATTAATGACAATGAGTACATTGCGAGTGAAAGTGATATTTCAGACCAACAAGTGCCTTTAATAGGTACAGCCCCTCCTAAAGATAAATATCGAATTGTATATTTTATATTTTTTTTGCAAGGCGTTGCAATGCTTCTAGGCTGGAATGGTAAATTTTAGAATTATTTTTACATAAAACTTTTATACATCTATTGATAATAATTGAGTTTTATTCCTTTGTAGTGTTTATTACTGCATCAGTCTTCTTTCACTCCAGATTCCTTGGATCACCTTATTCCGATGATTTTCAGAATTATTTTTCAATAGTTTATGAGTTAGCAAGTTTAATATTTCTTGTTCACGCCTTGTATACACAAACAAAGGTTGGTGTTTTAATGTTTTTAAATTGTTAGATAATTTATTTTTATCTAATTTTTTATTATTATCCAGGAAAATGCTTCGATCCGGTTGATTTACTCCCTTATTGTCACTGCTTTAGCTTTATTCGCTATGACAATGTCCATACAATTCTTGGATTTATTTACATCATCAGGATACTTTTATTTTACCATCACATTGGTTTGTCTTGTTGGAATGACTATTTCTTATCAGCAAAATTCAATATTTGGTATCGCTGCTTTATTTCCTCCAAAATATACTCAAGCCGTAATGAGGTAATGGAATTTTGAAATACTGTATTTTTTGTTTAATTTACTTATTATTTTTTATCTAATATATTATATATGGGACACATTTATAAAGTGGTCAAGGTATGTTAGATGATCAAGTTTCCATTCTCTTTTTATTTTAAGAGATTAATTTATTTTGAAAATATTTGTTTAGGTTTAGCTGGTATTGCCGTGTCAGTTTCACAAATTTTTAGTGCAGTTGCTGTTAATCGATCATCAAATAAGATAGATAAATTACCAAATGATGACGATTTAACACAAAGTGCTTTTATTTACTTTTTTTCCTCTTTTATTGTCATTCTTCTTTCATTAATTTCATATTTCATTCTTATTCGTTTACCCCTTTATATATATCATACTTCACCTAAATTAACTTTGGAGGGTCTAGGTATTGATAATAATTTGAATAATAGATCTTTCAAAAATACATTTAACAAAATTCATAAGTTAATTTTTTCAGTAACTTTTGTTTTTAGTGTGACATTGAGCATTTATCCTTCTGTGACTGCATTCATTAAATCTGTGACCCCTGATGATAAAAAAAACATGTTTCAATACGATTATTTATTTATACCATTACATTTCTTAATTTTTAATTTCGGGGATTGGCTTGGTAGATTTCTTCCATTATATGAAACATTGGTGATAACTGATCAAAATAGAATAACACTTTTATCAATTATTCGTGTTATTTTTTTACCATTAATATTAATATGTAACGTAGATGTTGGATTAAGTAATATGAGAATTTTACCATTATTGATAGATAGCGATTTAGTATATTTTCTTATTTTATTTTTGTTTGCTATTTCTAATGGTTATGTGGTATCCTTGTCGATGATGGCTGGACCACAAGTGGAAGGTGTTGAAAAGGAATTAGCAGGAACACTTTTATCTTTCTTCTTGGTAGTTGGATTAGTTGTTGGTTCAATACTTTCTTTTCCATTACGAGCTATTAGTTGTGGTTGTAATCCTTTGTAAATAAAATTTTAAAATTTCAAATAATAAAAAAATAATAATACAATTATCATTTCGAGCTTAATATATTTTTTTTATTTAAAAAATGAAACTTGTATTTAATTTAATAAATAAATAAAATTTGTTCATTTTAAAAACGTGTTAAATTTAATTATATACTAACTATCATAATTTTTAAATTTTGACATATATGTTTAACCACCCTCTAACATAAATTTTAATGTGAATGAATTATCTATTTTTACCACACATTTACAAAGTGACATAAAAAATTTACTCAAAAATAAAAAAAAAACTATAACTCAAACTTCAATATATCGATTATTATTATCACTATTAATTCTTCTGTCTTCTGTGATATATGGTCTATGTGGCATGGCATTAATTTCATCAACACCAACGTCAGCACCATTATCAATTAATAATTGAATCATTTCAGTAAAATCTTTTTCTATGGCATTCTTCAAAATTGGTTTAGCCGGTTTAGCACCATGTTTTAATAATAATGTGGCCATTTCAATATTATTTTGTCTTACACTCACTGATAATGCCATATTATCTTGAATATCAACTTTTGCACCAGCTTCTATTAATAATTTTACCATTTTAATTTTCCCTAATCGAGCAGATTGTATAATTGGATAACCATTAGATTCATTTGGTGATGCACCACGTTCAAGAAGAAGAATTCTAGCTAAATTATAAATTTTATCTTTTGGATCCGGTTCTTTAAAAAACCATTGAGGTATTGGTCTACTTGCATAAGGAATAGTATTTTGACCATTAAGTCTAGAATATAATAAATCCAATTGATTAAGAACGTCTTTATTAAAAAATTTCCATTTTAATCCTCGTGATAATGCTCTTTCACAATCATTATTATATCTTCTCATCAACCATTGCGTTTTCACACTTGTCTGTGAAGTGGCTACATGGTGAAATGTTCGTGATACGAGGGCAAGATCTGGATTCTTTGAAAGAACAAATATGTATTGTAAAACTTCAAGTGGGAGTCTTTCTATACTCTCTTCAAAAGCATAAGACATCCCTTTTTTTTCACAAAATTTATATAAAAATAATTTCGAACCTTTCAATAACTTTTTTTTTTTTTTTTTAATAATATGAAGAAAAATGGAAAGATGCTTGTTTGGAATTTATAATTTATGAGAAATTTCGGAGTTATGATTTTAATTCCCGATATAGAATTGATTATCGACTTAATCAATATAATTCATTTATAACTTTTACGATTCTCTTGTGTCATATACAATCGACATAAAACTAAATGTCTATTTTAGATGAACCTATTACTATGAGAAACTTTATGTTTCATTATCAATGAGATCAAATTTGTCGTATCCATTTATTTTTCTTTATAAGTTAAGGTTGTTTTTCCTTTAAAACAATATATATGTAATGTATGTACAACTTGATAACGCAAGTTGAAAGACCTAACACAAAAGCATTTGGAATTTACAAAAGGAAATGTCTATTGGTTATCTAATACATATATTTTTATTATATAACTAACTCATTATTTTATATATACTGTACATTGTACATATAAATATCTTTCCCAAAAATAAAAAATTATTTTAAATAATAATATACCAAATACTGATACACAATATATACTTTAATAATAAACAAAAAGAACTTTAAAAAAATTTCGGTAAATAGGAAAATCCTTTCAAATAATCTGCAAAAAAAAAAACGATTATACCATTCAAACATAACTTATAAAGTAAACAAGGATGATTTCTTTGGAATTATATTTGTCACTTTAATTAAAAGTTTTTCAAAGGATATTTTTTTTATATTATTTCCACCAACAATCATTTTCCCTTTATTTAATTCTACCCCAAAACTTTAACTCTAAATTAGGCTAATCCTTAACTCTAAATCAAGCCAATCTAAAATTGCCGAGAAAATAAGTTCTATCTACTTAATGATTTTAACAATTCTATGTATAAAGATTTAAACATGAAAATGTTTATACTACGTAGAAAGTTTATTACGGATCTGCTTCTCAAATCTATATAATTGCACTTTCTTAATGCTAAGTGCATACTTTTTACATTTTGTAGCCCTATAATTGATGGTAAAATTAATGGCTTATTACAGCATTACATTAGGTCATGTCAGATAATCGATACGTATGATAATTTATGTAATACGTACCTCCCATGCAGACGACGTCTCTGTTTTATTTCGAAAAAATAATCAGATCATGCAAAACATTCTAAAAATGTTTTTTCCCGCTACCTATCGGTAAATAATAAAAAAAAAAAACACCAACGTAACCAATATTTTTTGAAGAGATTTTTTTATTATTAAAAAAAATAATAATGATAATAACAACTAGTAAAAATAATTTAAATTTATTCCGAACGATGTTAAAATACATTTTTAAAGTGTAGTAAATAAAAGGTTATTAAAACAGGGAAAGGAAATAAAACACCAATTAACCCAAAATAAAACATATAAATATTTGCTTTTAAGAAAAGAAAAAAAAAAACCAGCTTGCCTAAATTATTATTGGTTTGTCGCGCTTTAAAGATAAAATTCATTTAAAGTTTTATTGAATTATCTATATAAAAAGGTCGAGCTTTGTTTATTTATTTATTTTGCAAATATGGATAGGAAATATATATATAAAAAAAAAATACGATGGGAAAAGAAAAAAATTAAATTGTCAACTTATATTTACGGGCTGTGGGCACGGGAAATTTTTTGGGCATGCCTCTACTTTTTCTGATTTAAAGGCATTGCAATATTGATCAGAAGAATTCAAAACAAATATTATTTTGTCAAAAAATTACTTATTTTCTCAAAAATCTGAATAAGAAATCACTTTTGGTGCTCTAATTAAAAAAATTTTTGCTAATTTTGATTAGATTGGTATTGAGATATCTTCGTTCAAAGTTAGTAAACAATTCAAAAAATAAAAGTTGTACCGAATCTTTTTAAAACTTTGAGCAAAGATATTTCGACAACCAACTAATCAAATTTGATAAAATTTTTTTGAATTCTACGGATCTAATAAAAAAAAATTTAATCGAATTTGGTCAAGTGGTTGTCGAGATATCTTTGCTCAAAAGTTAGTAAACAATACGAAATACTTATCAAAATAAAAGCTGTGCCAATTTTTTTTTTAGAACTTTGAGCAAAAATATCTTGACAATCACTCAATCAAAATTTGATGAAATTTTTTTTTATTTGAATTGTAGAGATCTGTAGAATTCAAACAAAAAAAATTTCATAAAATTTGATCAAGCAGTTGTCAAGCTATCTTCGCTCAAAGTTTTGCACAACTTTTATTTTTTGAATTGTTTGCTAACCTTGTATCTTGTCAACCGCTTGACCAAATCCAATGAAAAAAATTAAATTCTACAGATCTGTAAAAAAAAAAAAAAAAAACATCAAATTTGATCGGGTGGTTGTCGAAATATCTTCGCTCAAAGTTTTAAAAAAATTTGGCGCAGCTTCTATTTTTTGAATTGTTTACTAACTTTGAGTGAAGATATCTTAATAACAACCTAATCAAAATTGGCGAAAATTTTTTTATTTGGATGATAGGAATGTTTAAAATTAATTTATTAAATTTGACAGGTTGTTTTCGTGATATCTTTGCTCTAATTCTTGAAAAATTTTATTAAAATATAGAAATTTTGGTGTAACATCTGCGTGTACGTATCAAAAAAGTAGGCGCAGATGGCTACATAATATCTAATA